TCCCTACTGCGCATAATTTCACGCGTGATTAGCGCGCGCGGATTTAAAAATGGCGGCTTTTTCTTTACAGCTGGACCTCGCCATAGAAGTAAATCGTCATTTTCTCGCAAACGAGTATGTCTACCTATCATTTTTTTCTGTTGTTTTGAATTGAGTAATAAATTTCTCTTTGTAAAATAAGTATGGACCAATTCTCGGTGGAGAACAAAAAGCAATCGTCGGAAACGTGAATTTAGCAGGCAATCGTAACTACAATCATGGTGCTATTATAAGGATTTATATGGGTACAAACAAGGTGCTTTTGCTCCTAAACGAACATGGCGACCCCTCATTTTTATTTCAAAATTTAAGTTCCTACAATATAAACAATCGATAGGCAAAGTTTCACAAAAATCTCAGTGCAGGTTCTATTTCAGCGGAATGACCTTAAGCCCTAATCGGGGTCATTTTGTTGTGCTCTTGGGCAAGAAACTTACTCTGTGCCTTTCTCCGCCCTGATGTATAACTGGGTACCGGCGAACTTAGTGCTGGGGATAACCCTGCGATGGACAAGCATCCCATGCAGGGGGGAGTAGACACACTTCTTGTCACTTCATGCTACAGAAACTAGTCATAAGCTCCGGCCTGATGGGCCCCTCGGCTCGTATGCAGACTTTACCTTTTTAGTATTTTTGAGTTATTTTTAGACTTCATACTCAGTTCTTCCGCAGATGTTACTATGCGCGTTGCCTGGACGTTTTTGTGGAGGATGAAATTGCGCGACATGAAGCCTGCGTAACAAGCGTTCCCGTCCTAGGGTATTTTTCCGGATTCTGGCCGTGCGCAAACTGAAGCGAGAGCAAAAACCTCGACGAGGCAGGGGCAGGTGGAACCACCATTCCTTGTTTCGTCGCTATTTTCGCTCCCGCTCCGATTTGCGCGCGGCCAGAATGCGGAAAAAGCTCTTCGTAAGGGAGCGCTTGCTATGCAGGCTACCCGACGTGTAAAGCCGCTTGCGGCCTGGTCTCTATTT